CATTAGTTTGCTCATTTAAAAAATGTTGGCATGCTTAATGGTAGTGGTACTTGGGATGTATCAGCTTCAAATCTTCCATTCTTAGTTGCATTGGCAGAATTTCAATTGTATAGGTTTCTTATTTGAGAAACATATCACTTCCTGGCAAATTTAAATTGTAATTTAATGCTACTGCAGTGATGAAGGCCACCTGAAAATAGTGCTCATTTCATACTTAGTTGAATGGCTGCATTTTTGCTGCTGCTCTTAGAGTGGAAGGGACAGATTCTATAACCCTGTTTTTTTAGAAACCTGGCAAAGGATATGAGGGTTTCTTGCTCATTTCTTTCATTTCTCCCTTCTCTTTGATTTTATTCAAATGAACATGCCTTTGGCTTTATCCACATTATAATTTTTGTTTTAGTGTCAAAATCTTGGGTTTAAACTAATTGATATAAACACCTTGTAGAACAACTTTCATTTGAAATATCAACTACTGAAAAAAAAAATGACATTTTCTCCTGTGAAGGCAAAATGTTTCCTAGTTAGCAAAATATGTCCTTTGAAGAAGGACAATGTTTTCTACAGGTTTGTTGAATTTAAATACCAGCCAGATTATTTTTTAAAAAAACTGTCTCTTTTCTTTAAAATAATAGAATCTAATGTCCCTTGAACACTAATATCCAATTATAATGGCAACATTTTGAGTATATTGAAAGGATGCAAATATTTAAATATGTGTGCATAAAAATAATTAGGACATATGCTAGAGTTTATTCTTCTGTGGTCTAATTATATTTAAACATGCTCAACAGAAAAAAATAAAAGTTATTATCTTTATTAATATTTCAAAGAATAAACAAGCCAATGTTCTGCTTCAAATGTTTAGAGATTGTAATTATAAAATCTCTCTATGCAACAGGTTGAGTGGTCCATAAAGAGAGCTAAACTATTTTAATTGAGTGCAAAATTTTAACCAATTTAAGGTAAAGAGTAAGGAAGCCAATGAGAGTTTTTTGTTTAGTACTACTTCTGAATCTCAACATTAAGTTTCATTATCAGAGTGGGAAACCAGTGAACTCTTGATCTAATAAGAATAAGAAGCTTGTTATATAATCCTCTTGGAAATTCATTATAAAATTCTGAATAAGATATGGAATAAGAAGGCAGGTAACTTTAGGAAGCAACTCAATATTCTGTTCTTGGTCGAAGTTATGACTCGCAGATAGGCACTAATATTTTGGGTATACTCACACCCATGTGTGCAACATAAGCATGTATATGTGAATTAAAATACATATTTATAGATATATACATACAAATACATGTGTACAGTTATATGTGTGTGCACATGTATGTATTTACATAGAAAATAAGTACATGAAAGTATATAGTAGGGGGTGAAAAGTCCAAATTCAGCCTCACTCCTGTTTTTGCAGATAATGTTTTGTTGGAACACAGCCACATCTATGTTATCCTCAAATGCTTTTGTGCTATAACACCAGAGTTGTTAGGACAGACTGTATGACCTGAAAAATAGTAAAATATTTACTATTTGAATCTTTTCCAGGAAATATTTGCCAACCTTTGGTGTAAATCAAAATGCTGTGACTACCTATAATTGTTAGATTTCAGATGACAAACGTCTTATTTTTTTCTTATTTGTAAGACAATTCTATATGTGGGTAATTTCTTTGAGTAACAATTTTTAAAATGGCAAGTGATAACCAAGTAATTTCCACACATTTAGAATAAAGAAGACTGATCTAGTTTAATTTTCATAACACCAAAAAAACTCTGAGTTGGTTTTATGCTTATGCTAATGTACATTGGAAATGTGTTTTGGAGTTGTGCAACTAAATGTGTCATGTAAACAGCTACAACAGCAACTGCAAAGCTTTGTCATTCCAGCTGCATATATTTAACATAAGTAATATTTGCAAAGAATTCATGGGAATGTTGTCTTTGAGGAACAGTAGTTATATCATCTTGGGTCTATTTAAAACATTGTTTTTTCAGGTTGTTCTACTTGGATTGTCCTAATGCTTTTGTAGGCAGATGCATGTAAGGTCAAGACGTGTTTGAGCCTACTATCTATCTAAAGGAACTCTCTTTTAAAAGAGATTAAGATTTTGTAGAGACACCAAAGGATTTTATGGCAACTTGAGGAATTTTATATTGCAGCACTTCCTGGCAAGAGAAAACAGTTACCAGCCAAGGAGAGCATCTGGCTTATTTGGGCTGGATTATGCTTGTTAGTTCCATCAGTGGCTCTTGCTCCAAATCCTTTCTCTGTGGCCTTGTAGTGTTTCCGTGTTCACTAGTGGGAAGAAGATGGACTGACAACCTAATGTTCCATATGGTTATTATATATCTTATTATGAGTAACAGTAGTCAGATTGTGAAAATCTCATGAGTGTTTTGCAAAGTGAATTCATTTTTCTCAAGGTACCATGTTTCCAGACTTGAGGTGAGAGGATCAATTTCTGAAGTTAACCTTGACCTTAAAGTCTCTGCTGTGTCTGAGTAAGAGGCAGTCAGTACAGAGAGGAGATAATGTGTGGTCACTCCAGAATGTAAAAGAAAGGTTACCTTATTAGAATTCACACCTAAGTTTCTAGCCCTCACTGGAAATCACTAGAATATCACTTGATTTGACCATAATCAATGATATTATTTTATATTAAGTAATATTTTGGCTATAGAAAGTGGTACAAATGTAAGAAAAAATGGTATTGGTGAAGGAAAAACAATATTTTAGTTATATTAAGGGAAAGATGCTTCATTTCATGAAAATGAGTAATTCCATCATTATAGGACTGTGTCTTAAGTAAAATTTTATTTCTGAGTACTGTTTAACATCGTGAGGACCAGTGCCTGATTTCCACAGGGTGTTGGAGATGATTGTCAGGCTTCTTCCAGACTGGCTGAGAAAGTATTTTCTTGTTGATTAGTGACACTGCTAGGGTTTGGGGAGATGGCATGTGAGCCAAGTCCATGGAGGTGAAATTTACAGTGGGTTAAGCAGAATTCCTATGACCCAGGAAATCTTCATACATATTCCCTGAATTTGAACAAGTTTTTTTTAAATATGTATAAATTACTTGCCCACCCTCCACCAATTTTATATTCTTTATTCCACAAGTAACATTGTGACTGTGATGACTGGTTTTGGTTTCATAAATGCTAAGTAACTTGAGGAAATTATACTCCAAAAAATGGAAAACGAACATTTTGTTCTCCAGAATCAATATATTCCCCATCTTCCAAAATTAAGGAAGGAAGATAATCAGGGTACATTCACTGCACTCCTGCCTCAGAAGTCAATTTTCATTAATTCTGTTCAGCCCCCACTAGGTTAGCTGGTGAAGAAATTTTATATTTTATTTTATTTTATTTTATTTCATTTTTGTTGTTTTATCCACTATCCCAGTGGACTGATGGCCCATGTGGTTCTTCCTGGGCGAGGAGGGAGGAGATGGCAGGGGCTAGAAGACCCTTGGCCATTCCCCCTTACCAGAAGCCAAGTTTCTACTTCCCCCTCCTCTTCTATTTCCATGTTTTCTTCATTAAATTTATCTTTTTCCCTGTCCTAATTTGTTCAGCTTCTGATCATTGATAAAGTTCTGCAAAATTCTGAGAACTTGCAAAGCTCTCACCAGTAGTTTCTTTCCTAAGGTTTTATAGTCTTCATTGACACTTATGAGATGGATAAATTCTACTTATAAGTGTGGGTGGGCTAAAGACCATTGGGATACAAGAGAGAATTTGAGCATGCTCAGAAGGGCAAGAAGATTGTATATTAAATGCGTGTAGCAATAAAATCCTACTATACCAGCAGTTCCCAACATGCACACCCAGGTACCCCAGGTGGTACAGCAGATTCAAAGGGCACAACAGAGGACCTTCAAATTTCAAAGGAAACATGATACTTGCCATAGCCAAACACCACAAAAGCTACTAAATTGAAGTAATTGTCAGTTTCAATATTGGATTGTCCACATTATTTTTTTTCAATGCTTCAATATCACCGTGTTTTGGTGAAGTTGTATTTTTTTTTCTCATGACAACTGCAACAGTTTCAATGTGAAAATCAATGTGGAATAAGAAATGGGAATGGTGGTTTCTAATCTGATTACATGATTTAAGAAGGTGTATAGTATTCAGTAGGCACACACTTCCTGTTAGTGACTATTATTTAAGATTAAAATACAAATACTACCTATTAAAATTTATATCAATTATTTTCATTTCAAAAATGTGTATATATTTATATATTCCAAAGATCTCAAAGTGATAGGACATGACTACTCATTTGTTCCTAAGTTTGTCATACATAGAACTGTTAGATACTGCCTGATGTGGTAGCACAAACCTGTAATCCCAGCAACTTGAGAGGCTGAGAGGATCATAAGTTTAAGGCCAGCTTCAGCAACTTCGCAAGACTCTGTCTCAAAATAAAAAATCAAAAGGGCTGGTGATGTGGCACAGTGGTGAAGGGCCTCTGGGTTCAATTCCCAGTTCTAAAAAATAAAACAAAAATTGTTAGGTTTTTCTTTTGTCCTCCTAGGGTTTCCTTAAACAATTACTGAGCAGCTAAGGGTACCATGAAGTAAGAAAAATAGAAGGTATCTTCATATATGCATTATATTACCAGCCTTATTTACCTTTCTTTTTTCTTGGTATGAGCCTACCTTACTCATTTACAGAGTTATAGCAGATCAACAGTGGACAAAGGCAAGTCTTTGAGGCATGGCAGGTTTGGACATCATTATGGTCCACACTGTCCAGTTGCCTTAGCAAAATCCTGCCTCGTAGACAGTCCTAATTTCAGAAGAAACCTACTAGAACCTATAGAACTAGCCAGCACACTCTTCATAAGTACTTTTTGGTAGGTATTCATTGGTTTTGTAATTTTTTAAATTAAATGTGGGATATCTGTGGAAAGAAGATCCAGCATGTATGGTCACATTTTTATTTACAATAAATCTTTCATCTTTCACTTTCTTTTTTCTCTCTAGGACAACTCTACTGGCTTGAAAGTGGAAAAGGCAGTGTTCCTTCCCTTCATTGTTTCTTTATTTCCTTGTGATTATGATGTGCCCATCCTTCTGGGTAAGGTTAGCTTAAGTGCCAGAAGATTTCCTGTCATGGAGTGAAGAACTAAATAGGATCTTAGAGATGGATCAGGTTGTGTTAAGACCTCAAATTTGAGTCATTTGCTCACTAGTTACTTGGATTCCTCCCTTGAGAGCTGGAAGTTCTGATTTCTAGTCAAATATTCAATTAAACTGCTGTTGGTATCTAAGTGAAAGTTAAGCTCATTTCAGTCTTTCAAAAATTCTTTCAGTTGATCAGCTATAATTTCCTTCTTTCCATTTGAAACAGCTTATTGCTTCATGTTTGAGATGAAGTCACTATTTCATTCTGAAGATGGTTCTTTTGTAATGGCAGACTAACTAACTTTTCTCTTTGGGTTTAAGAAGTGCTGGGGAAAGAAGGGTGCTGTGTGCCATAAATACAAATGGTTATACTCTACTGAAACAAGCTATAGCATATAACATCTGATATTTTCCGTGACTTTGCATATAGATAGTATGAATTAGGAAATGTACTTTTTTTGAACTCTACAGCTGTTCATAAAATTGTCACAGAAATTTGCATTTAAAATATACATATAGGGAATTTGCACACATTTATAGAGCTCTCTGGAATCCTTATGGGGTAGAATTTAATACCCACTGGCAAATACTTCCAAGTTATATTCCAAGAAAAGAATGAATAACTGATATATGTGAGCTTTGCCTAATTTGGGCCTCATGAGCTTTGATAGTGGGGTGGATAGACCTTGAATTTGATATTTCTATTGAAAAAGGAATAAAATTATACCTTCCATGACAAAATAGCAAGGCTAATAAAGAATCATGGATCAAGGCTGTTTCTGTGATGCTAAGGTAAAAAAAAAGAATCAGAATTTTGATAATTGTTCAGAAAACTTTTTAAAAGAATTATTTTAAATGTAAAAGACTATATTTAAAATAGCTTTTATAGGCAGTGGACTTTTTGGATACTTAAACTTCTTGTAATAATTATGTTATTTAAATGTGAGTTTCACTTTATATTGTTAATTTTTACTAAGAATCTTATTTTATGTATTATAAAGTAAAGTATATTTATTATGGGTAATATAGAAAAATACCAAGATACTGAACAATAGATTCATACTCTCATTAATTTACCACTCAGAGAATGTTCTTTAATACTTTTGTCTATCTTTTCCTGACAAAGATTTTAGTGTGAGCATTAATTTCCAACACTTCATTGTTAAAAATTATATTGTATTATATTGAATCACTAAGCAATAATTACTGGGTTAAATGTTTCCTTCCTTTTTGGCATTTAGAATATTTTCATTTTTTTTTTGCTAGCAACATTAACAATCTGATAAACACTGTTATACTTATTCATTTACACAGCTTTGTCTTTATTTGATTAGGGTGAATTCCCGGAATTTGATTTTTTTAGATTAAAAGGTTTGTACATTACTAAGTCTTTGGATAAACATTTATTTATGAACTCCTAAAAGGACTGTATCCAATGTACCAGAGATGCTCTCCTCTCTTTATAACTGAAAACTCTGAGTACTTACTCCTATCTTTGTCACAGGAAAAATAGGCAACTGCATATTTTACTTCATGCTGTAAACTAGTTATGAGGTCTTATATTTTTCTCTGTTACCATAATATGTAAGAATTAAAAAATGCACCGAGAATTAAAAATTTAAATTCAAATATTTAAAATGAATAGGTTAATATAAAAACATACAAGAAATTTCTGCAACTCAATAGAAAAAAAAAACCAAATGACTAGATTTTTAAAAATGGACAGGGAATGGGCACAGAGCTCAGTGGTAAAGTACTTGACATGTATGAGGCCCTGGGTTTGATTTCCAACAACTGGGGTGAGAGGAGTGAGCAAAGGACCTGAGCAGACATTTCTCCAAAGAAAACACACAAAAGGCCAATAAGAATATGGAAAAATGTTCCATTTCACTAATCATCAGGAAAACCCAAATCAAAACTATAGTGAAATATCACCGTACACCTGCTAGAATGACTGTTATCAAAAAATAAGAGATAATGGGTATTTGTAAAGATATGGAAAAACAGAAACCCTTGTACATATTCAGTGTTAGTATAATTTAGTACAGCCATTATGGAAAATAGTATAGAGGTTCCCCCCAAATTAAAAATGACCATATGATCCAGCAATCTTACTTATGGATATATATCTAAAAGAGGAAGTTAATATCTCTTAATTTATCTGTAATATCATGTTCATTTCAGCAACATTCACAATAACCAACACATGGAAGTGACTTAAATGCCCATAAATGGATAAAGAAAATGTTGTATATGCACACAAAGAAATATTATGCTTCCTGTAAAAAGAAGGAATTCCTTCCATTTGCCATAATATCAATGGCAGACACACAAAAATGCATGATATCACAGAAGAAGAGAATAGAATGAACCACCATTCAGGGGCTGGCAGGGAGGTGCAATAAGGAGGTAATAGTCAAAATATATAAAGTTTCATTTATAAGCAATAAATAAAACCTATAGACAGGTAAAGCATTTTGCCTATGGTTAACAATATTGTATTGTATACTTGAAAATTTGTTCAGTTGATAGATCAGATGTTAAATATTATCACAAGTAATAATAATGATAACAATAAATAAGATGACAGGAGGGAAATGTTGGTGGTGATAGATAGGCTTATGGTAGAAATATGATGGTGTCATGGTGCATAATATTTTCTAAACTCATCAAGTTTTATACATTGAATGTGTACATGTTTTTGTGTGTCAATCATGACACCGTAAAGTGTTTTAAAAATAGAGATTACATTGACAGTGTTCATGGCATATTACATAAGCATTAATAATTTGTTATTTTCATAATAATTTTGCAGTTATATCTATGTGTATGTGAAATAAAATCTTATACATAAATTTGAAGTTCTCTTGTTCTTCAGCTGAGTCACATTTTTCTACTTTCCAATCCAGAAGCAACACTATATTATAAACATTGTCTTTCATTACAGTTTGCATTTTTTAATTATACATGTTTTTTTCACATTAGGCATTAAATAGTGAACATATTTAGGCACAGTTCTGACTATTATTTATTTATTTATTGGTTTGCTGCTTTGTTTTTTGGTTGCACTAGTGCTTCTCATTATCGTATACCCATATTTTTCATTAAGTTAGAGTTTATTCTTTTACAGAGAAATAGCAAAATTAGGAAATGAAGTTTAGGGCCATACTGAATGAGACAGATGACTTGGGATGTTCAGAATTGTTTTAATTTTGTTTTGCTCTGAGACTGCAACCAAGCAGTGTGCAAAGACTATACAATAGATAAGGATCTAGGTGGATGGATGCAGTGCCTTGTTTTCCTCTTCATGTCTTCCATAGGCTTTCCATATATTCAGTGCTCTTGATAGCTCACCTGGAGTGAAATGTGTTCCAGGCTGTCAGGGTTTTTAGCCCCTTGTCTCCTCTTGACAGGTGGGAGAAGCGGGGGAAAGCACACGCCGACCAGGATGAGCCAAGAGAGGTAAAGGTCCACTGGCGGTCTGTACCCAGCCTTCCTTCGAAGGAGGACAATCAGACATGCCAGGGAGACCAATCAAAGCAGGGATTTCATTTATTGAGGAAGTACACACAGCTTATATACTGCACAGAAGCCAATCAGAATAAAGGTCAGAGGGGTGGAGCAAGTTCACTTGTATACCCATCCCATAGTCTGTAAGGGAAGGCAGGAGCTGTAAGCTAGGGCGGAAGAGTCCCAGACCTATCCTGGAGGTGGTTTGCCTCTTCTGTCACCTCCCATAGCACTGCCTCCTGGCTGATCGCCAGGAGCCATCCCAGTCACATGTGCGGCCCCACGACTGGGAAGTGGGCAGCCATGCCCTACACCAGGCAGGAGCTATAGATTCTTATATTTTTGTTTTCTCACTGTCAGCTTAGAGCCCAGAGTCTGCCCACATGCCTTCTCACATGGCCTTCTCTTCATCTTCAAACCAAGAGCTACATGTGTGTGATCCTTCTTTACATCTTTCTAGCTTGCCCTTCTTCCACCAGCTCAGTAAGTTCTTATGTTTTTTTTTTTTTGTTGTTGTTGTTTGTTTATTTTTTCAGTTTCATGTTATTGCATTGAGCCCCCTCTGGATAATCTAGGATAATCTATATTATCTTCAGGCCTATTGTGTTATGGGATTTAGCACAACCACAAGATTGATATATATTCAGGTTTGATATATTCAGGTTTGGAATATTGGGGAAACATTTTTTAGACTTTCTAAAAATAGCCTTATCTCTCTATCCTAAACAACCTTACTCATCTCATTGCTGTATAAGGCATATGCCTCTACTTCCCGCTTCTTGGAAAAGGGGGCAGAACAATGGGACGTGGATCCTAACCCAATTATATTCATATGATGACCAAACTAACAGTCAGATTTTGTGTTTCTCTAAGACTCATTCTGGTTATCACCCCTAAACTTGAAAACTCCCTCCCTGTGAAGTCCTTCCTGTCCATGCAAATTATGGATTTAGTTTTCCTTCTCTCAACTGAATCCCATATGCCATTTTTCTTCAAGGAGTTAATCATAATTTTTCATTCATGCAGGGTATCCTCATCCTCAGCACTTATTTTCAACATCTTTTTCATAATTATTAATAACTTAATATATGAAATGTGCATACTTGTCTTTCATGCATTTATTTGACTTCTCCCAAGCCTTTTTTCCTTGGAATGCTCTTGAGTCTCAACTTTCACTTTCTTGAGCATATTAATTTTTTTTCAATTTTCACCATATTTGAAACAAGCTACTTAGTCTCCATTCTGGATTCTCTTCTCATGTTGCTTGTATTCTCTCTTTAGAGATTAGTTTCTATGTCTGTAAGTACCATGTAGGTACTGATGTCTTAGACATTTGTTTCTCAGCTTCACTGCTGTCTTTTGTATTTGAGGTCTGTATTCCAGTTCTCTATTTGTTAGGCATTATCTTAGTACAAAATACATTAGATTGTGTAATTTAAACCATGAAAATATATTGCCCACAGTTCTAGGGGTAAGAAAATCCAAGATAAAAGCATCGTCAGATTCCACGTCTGGTGAGGACTCTTTCTGCTTCACACATAGCCTCTTCTCATGCATCCTTACATGGCTATGTCCTTAATGGAATTGGTGAATGAGCTCCTTGGGGCTCCTTTTACAAGGAAACTGATCCCATTTA